CTGAGCGTTGCTTTGCTCGGTGTCTGGGAACAGCGGGGCTGCGTGTGCAGGGTTTGCAAGAAGCAGGTGATTTTTTTACCAGTTGTCTTTTTAATGTACCAACATTCAGGTTTTTAAACCAGGTTTTTAAACTTGCCTATGAATAAGCTGTGAATGTTACCGATGTGTAATCCTGCCTTTAAGCTGCTTTAGTATTTAGCACATCGATGGTGAAACTCCTCTGTTACTGAAATCCCCCACCAAGGTGTGAGGGAAGCAACGCCCCAAATTTACAGTTTTCTCCCCCGAGTCTTGCCTTGTGTTTTGCCGAACTCCATTTTACCCCACTCCTCCTGTTCTTGCCCTAAGGGTGAAATCCTCAGGTTGGGTGAAGGAAGGAGCATTTAGGTACGAAGCAGGAGGCTGTTCTGGACCCCCAGGATTTACACTAGCAACTTCTGGGACCTTGGTTGCTCATTTTAAATAAATGTTGGCCAGGGATGTGTGCTCGAGAAATGATCTGTGCTTGAGCCCTGGCTGGGGAGGAGCTCAGGAGCCCCAAGCCTGAGCTTTACCTGGGGATTTTTTGCTCACACCCAGTTGTTTTAAACACTCCGGGAGCTTTAATTTGCTAAAGCTGAGATGGGGATGTCCATGGCAAAGGTCCAGGCTCTAATTCTAAGCCTTTAGGATTTATGCAGCGCAGAAGTGTGTGTCAATCTGAAGCGATTGTGCCACAGAGGGAGGAAATTCAGTGGGTGAGAAACGGGGTTTTATTAGTTCTGTTCCTCGGGCTGTTTTCACCAGGGCGCAGGTTTGCTGCAGCCTTCTGCAAGAGCAGTGCCGCCTGTTCTGCAGTTTTAAATGTCACAGTGCTTAGAAATCAGCCAGAGGGGGGGGGGGGGAGGGAAATAAATCTGTTGAAGGAAGAGATCTATAGCCTTTGCTGTCACTCTGCAGTGATGCTCTAAACGCACAAACCCGCCCCGCGTCGGGCTGGCTGCTCCTGCCAGGAGCCCTCCCGCTCTGTGGGGAAAACAGCGTAGAAACGTACTGTAGGATGTTTACGCACAATATGCTGTAGTAAGTTACAAAGGAGTTAATTATATTTGTGTCATTGAGTAGTTAATGGTTGTAAGGAGACAAAAATATGTATTTTTTACCTGCCAGGATTCATGAATGTAGCTGCTGATGTGTCGTTGGTCAGAATTATTTAATCACTGCTAAAAGATGAGGTCTGCAATTTCAGATCCCTGACTGTGGGTCCTGGATTCCTGTTGAGGGGGTCCTGGCCTCGGCCGTGGGCTGTGGGGCTGGGGATGGACCGTCCCGGCCGCCTGCAGAACGCAGCGCTTGTGCCTCGGTGCTTTAGTTAAAGCCTAACTAGAGCTTTTCCCTCCTGTGTTTTAACTTCCAAAAGGTGTAAATACATGTGAGCAGAGCAGCAGCAGGTTTGGGATCATCGTCGTTGCCCCACGGGACAGGTCCTGGGGTCCTGCTGAGCCCCGAGCTCTCGGTGACGGCAGTGAGCCCACCCGTCTCCCCAGCCCCACGCGGGCTGGCGGGTCCCTGTGCCAGGTATTTCCTTGAAATCACCTGATTTCCTGGGCACCCTGCGTGCAAATACCCCAGGATAAACACCGGTTGCACAATGTACCTGAGCGGGGGGATTAGCCGCGGGCTGGTGCTGACGTACCGGAGCCGCCGTCTTGGGCTGGGCAGGCAGAGGAGGAGAATTTGGAGGTGTGGAAGTGGGCTTGGTGCCTTTGTAAGCACGAGCTCAAGGTTTTTCTGTATGTCCCTGACCTTCTGTCCCTGTATTTCCAGCACAGAGGTTGCGGTCCCTGCTGTCACCTTCAGTGAGCAGTGGCAGGGCCACCAGCGGGACAGGCATTGTGTCCCTGTCCCCTCATCATTATGGGTTGTGTTAGAGAAAAATGATCCCTCAGGCAAAACCTGTTCCATCTGTGCTGCCAGCGATGGGGAGAATTGGAAAGCGAGCGAAAAAAGGCTTAAAAACAGCTGGAGCTTGTGTCCGCTGGTGGTGACGTTAGAGCTGTCACCTCTCTGTAACGTGTCCCCTTCCCAGCAGCTCGGCTGTGGGTACTGGGGAAGCCCGGCCATGGGAAATCGCTGCCAGCGCTTCCAGGACCCGCCTGCCCCGGGGTAATGTCCCAGCCCCTCGCCCCGTGCTCCTCTGGGCACAGGGTGGGTGCTGCCGGTGTCGCCTCCGCCTCTCCCGCTGCTGCTCTGCCTCTGAACACTCTTTGCAAACTGCATCTTGTGTTTAGTGTTTACCGAGATGGGTGTTACACGTCTACCTGCAATTTTGCTGCACTGCTGCGTTCTTTTAGGTTTAAAAATGGGATGTATGTAAACTTGTGCTGTATGTTGTGTCCTCTGTCCACTTGAGCATAAATATCCGACAAGCATTAATATCCCACGAGCATTTATTTAAAATAAAGAGGTTTAAAAAAAAATAGATGTAGTTTCCTCTGTTACTTTCCATTTTTGTTTGCTGTAACGATGGTGTGCTGATTTTTGGAGATACGGTGAATTCAGGGAATCGGGACAGTGTGTGGAGGAAGGTGGTGTGCAGGGGAGGGCAGGCATCCTCCTGGGACTGGGCTGGAAATGGTGAATCCTGTACCCCGGAGCTACTGCTGCCCTTCCTCTGCCCTCATCAATTTTAGGGGTGTTTTAATTGAAGCTATTGGGATTCAGATTTTTCAGGTTTTCCATGGAGCTGTTAGGGTAGGGATGTGCTTTAAAAAAAATAAAAGCATTCCTTTTTCTAGGGAGAGCTGCTGATTTTTTTGGGTGCACAAGTCAAGTTGTTCCAAGTCATCTGGAAAGCCTATGTTTGTGTTTGTGATTACCTGGATTCTTGTAGGTATTTAGTGGAGGTCAGTGCCTGCTTGGTTTTACAGACCAAGAACAAAATCTGCTTTGTTGCATTTTGGCATGGGCTCATGTGAACTTTACAAAGGTAATGTGTCCCACTCAGTGTAAGGATGTGGTACATTTTTCTGGCAAAAAAACCCCTGAGATTTGGCAGAACAAACCAATACCTGTAAGAAGCATGAGCCGGGGGAAGAGGCTGTTGCCAGGTTCTTGGTGGTGCTTCAAGCCCCGATGGAGCTGTGCAGCCAAAGTGCAGAAGGAGCAAATGGTCCCAGTTTCTGCTGAAACTCTTGTTACTGGAAGATGACCCACCAGCACCAGCTGGGTTTGGGAACAGCTTTCAGAGAGATGAAGGGCAGCTGGGTGGACGCGGGGGTTCAGCTCTGAGGGATGCTCCTGGGGACCTCCCGGCTGCCGAGCTCCAGCTGCTGTTGCTTTAATGGGATTGGGTGGAGCTGGTAGAAGAAACCCTATTTTGAACGCTGGCCATCAGCTTTGGAGAGCAGAAGTGATGAGCTCAGGGTTGACGTGCCCTGGGGTGAAGCAATCTTCTTGAGAAGGTCCCAGCGTGTGCCTGAGGTCCCTGGGCATGGGCTGGGTGCCGCGGGGAATGGGCAGTGTCCTGCCCTGTGGGGATTTCAACAAAGAGTTGGCAGCTTCACGAGAAAACAAACAATTTCAACATCTGCTTGGGTTGCGTTCAGTTTTCTAATGTTGGGCTTTGTGGGTTGAATAAACGACTTCCTTCTCGCTCAGAGGAGGAGTTAATGATTTATGGGTCAACGGCCACAACTCGGGTTCGGCAGAATCCAAACGTTTCTGCGTGGAGCCATATCTGAGCATGTAGGTGTATCGGAACTCCTCCTTTACCCCTGCGGTGCCTGGAGCCGGGGGGACAGGACAAGGACAGTCATCACGTTGTCTTGCAAGAGCTGAACACACCGGGTCTCTGTGTCTCCTGCTGCCAGCCCTCCAGGTAAGGGGACTTTGAGCAATGCAGCTTTAGGTAGCGTTGCTCTTGGGAACAGGATTGGAGCTTTCTTGCAACTCTAGCAGGCACAAAGATTAGTAAATTAAATGAAGGATTGAAGGAAAGCCAGAGGAGTGAAACAGCCAGAACAAGTGTTAGGTTTAGGGCAGAAAGCATCAGGAAAGACTCTCGTTTCCAGGAAGAAGGTGGGCACTGGGGGCGTACATAACATTGGGAGGGTTTAGGCTCAGAAGTTATGGTCGTGCGCAACAGAGAGGGATCTTGCTGATCTCTAGGGGTGCCAGGTTAGTCCAAATTGCACTCAAATTCCATTCGGTAAAGCAATTCAGCCTCCTGAATGACTGGTGTGCTTTGTAGCTTGACTACAGTTGCTGTTCTTCGCACAAAGCCGTTGCATCTTTCTGGTTAGATGCTTCTCTCCACCTATAATTTGTTGTTAGGGGACTGTAGTGACTCCAGCAGGATTTCATCTGACTATGAATTTGCTTCCAAGAGATTTATTACTGAAACAAACCATTTTACCCATTTCAGGGGACTTTTTCCAGAAGGCATAGATAAACCCATGGTCCTGCAGGTATTAATTTGGCTGGTTGGCTGGGAAGAGCACCGCGTTGGCAATATAGAGCTTTTAAGTTAAACCTGAGACGCTACAAAGCACTTCTGTTACAGTTTGAGTGGAACTGTTAGTATTTTTTTTAAATTTTATTTTTAAATTTTAATCCAGAGCCTCATTCTCAAAAATGTAAATAAATGAGACGAGTGGAAGAAAGCCCCTGGGAATTGCTCAACATCTACAATCAGCTGTCCTGTTTATGTTGGATTTTTATATCTCTGGGTCTGGTTTGCTGGAGCCAGCCTTCCTCACCCCCATCCAGCTCTGACCCCACCACCCAGCTCCTCTGTGCCAGCTTTTGGTCCCATCAGCCAGAGAGGAGCTGCAATAGCTCCTGTGGCTTCTCCCCCCAGCCGCACCTGCAGGACCTGCTTCGGGATGGAGAAATGAGACCTGTCCGTATGAGCTATGGTTATCCTGAGCGTGAACACCCCCCTGCTGTTTTTACAGATGTTTGGTCTAGAAGAAGAATGTGGTAACTCCAGTGGGATTTGCGGGCAGGGATAGAGAAAGATGCCAGCTGAGGGGCTGGGCAGGCGGAGGGACCACGCCGCTGTCCTCGGGTTGTTCCTCACCGCAGCTCTGGTTGTGGCTGTCCAGGGTAAGTGAACGAGGCTGTTGGGATAAACTAAGATCCCTTGATGGAAAGCCACCTCCTGGGGTTCACAAGACATGCATCCTTCCCTTTTCCTCTCTGCCTTTGCATTTTGAGAACATTGTAAATCTTTGTGATCAGAATCTCTCTTCCTGTGCCTTTTTTTGCCTTTCTGTGTAAAACACCTGTAAAATTATTCCAGCTGGAAAAGGTGCAATGATTTATACTAATTGGGGAGAGGAAGGATTATTAATCTGGATTTTGAATAAACTTTAGTCTGGACCCAGCCTTTGGAGCTGCTGTGTGAGGAGGGATCAGGACCCGTGGGGTGATGCTCCTGCCCCGTCCCGGCCAGCCTGGGCCATCCCCACTCACAGACCACGCTTCTCCGCCTTGTTTCTGGCTTTAGGGAGTTTTAAGGCCACCGAAGTGTCCTCACCTGGACCTTCAGAGTAAATCAGGCCTGAACTCCCACAGCTTTTCCTCCCAGCATCTTTCTGATGGAGTTTCTGTCGGTAGGTCTCTGCGATGCTCCGCCGCGTCTCCAGTCTGCAGAGCTCAAGGAGCTATACCGCGGCGCCACCACGTTCCGCCATAATTCCGTGGTGGAATACGTCTGTCGTCCGGGTTACGTGAGGAACATTAATTCCCAAGGCACCCTTGTCTGCGGAAGGAACAACAAGTGGCATGGGTCACGGGAGATGTGTATACGTGAGTATGTTTGGGGTTGACTTTGACTGTTGGTTTTGATTTGCGATGCTGTCAGCTCATTTTGGTGGAGCAGTGTCCAGAGACCTCACGGGGTGGTGGGAGATGAGTGACCTGACACGAAGCACCAGTTGTGTTCCCCTAAGTACTGGCAGTGGTGGGAAAAGCTGAAATGATGCTGGCTGTCTTTGATTGCTCACTCAAAGGGATGTTCTTCTGCTCAGGCCCTTTGTAACTCTTGGTTCAAAAAAAAGTATTTCAGACTTTGCAGTAGGAGAATGCTTTAGCTGTGGAGGAACACTGTCATGCTTGCCAGGGTTCCTGCAAAACCCCCTTGGGCTGCGGAGGCTGTCTGCAGGTCATGATGCGAGTCCTAACAGCATCATGATCCAATATTGGCTTGGAGGGGAAATCTGGAGGTCTCTGGTCCAACCCCTTGCTTGGTATTGGGGGAGTCTTCTCCTCTCCTGCTGCGTTTTCCCAACTCTTCAAGAAAGCGCAATAAGAACTAACCCCAGCCCTGTTGTCCCCCAGCAAAGCTGTGCCCCTACCCTACGGAGCCGGCCAACGGCAGACTCATCCTGGGAGAAAGGGTCGCT